TCCCACATGAAGGAGGTAAGATGCAGCATCTGCAAGCTGTGTTGATTTGTCCACTCCTCAGATCATGCCTAAGGACGTTCCAAGTCCCTGTATTGTTTTTTCTTCAATTGATGTTTTGTCCACCGCCGAACCGTAACAGGCGGACTTCAGTGCGAGTCTGCCATTTCGAAAATGAATGTAATCTACCTCGAGTTCTTTCCTTATATATATCCAAATTGAATGAAATTGTAAAAATCTCTCTCATATGATAACATTGATGACATTGATGACATTTTGTGTGAACTACGTGGTGAACTACGTGGTGAGCTACGTGGTGAATTATGTTCACGCCTTACCCGATGCCCACGTTATGGACAATCTTAAAACAACATTTTACGGGCGGAATTAGCGTGACTCTAACAACACCTTCGACATCAGAGTATGCCGCAGGTCGACTTCGTGTCCATAGCGAACTTTCCAAAAGGTCGAATTCGTGTCCATAAACCAAATTGATATACGTGGTATCGTTGGCATAGCGAAAGCCTTGGTGTCTTCGTTTAGATAACCCATACCTCGGTTAACAAGATCACTTGGAGGCAATCAATATTTTGTCATTAGCATTATCACACATTAGCAGTGTGAGCAATGGCGATCATAGGATCACGTGTTATATCGTACATGTATGTTATATGACTTATCGATTACAGAGAACAAAACCAACAAAGGTGTTAATTAATGACGTAATGTCCTATGACACGACCCCCATATGCGCGTCACCAGCGGGTTCAAACCTGGCGCCCACATGGTAACACCTTAACACCTTCACGCGGGTATAATTATATCAAAATCATTACCTTGTAGCAGAGGTCAGTAACCCAGCTGTTCGATGTATCCCCGTGTGGTTTACACATGTCTCCAATTAGCACGCCGTCGAGTAGTCGAGTTGATTATGTAATGTATCACATACATATACATGTATACTGGGAGATTGTGTTAAAACACATCTACATTGCCGGCGGACAGGTAGGTGCTTGTGTTTATCTACCATGTAATATTACAATTACAGTTTGCTTTATTTCTATGGCTATTTCTTTCATCATAACAATGCCATTTCCTTAAATTACTCCAATGACATTTTGCTTACTTGACTAAAATGACAAAATCTTACTTTGCGCCATTGTCATTTTTTTCACTTAACGCCAGTGACAGTGTTCTTGCTTTACTCAAATGTCATTTTCTTCCTTCAGAAATGAAGTTCCTCTAAATCAAGATCACACACCATGATATAACTCATCTTTCTTGTTTTTTGTCCAACGACATTTCCTTAATTTACGCAATGACATTGCCGTGCTTTACTCAATGACATTTTCTGACATTACTCAATGACATTTTCGTACTTCAGACACTAACTGTAAGACCTACATCTTGTCGGACGTCCCTGTAAATCAAGATAACACACCATGATATAACTCATATTTTTGGCTTTGGTTCAAAGACATTTCCTTACTTTACTCCAAAAACACTTTCTTACTTTAAACACATGTCATTTTCTTACTTCAGACACTGGCAGTAAATCTTGGTGGGCTTTTTTTCAGCCTTGGTTCAATCACATTTCGTTTCTTTACTCAATGAAATGATCCTGCTTTATCATCCAAAACTGTGTTCCACAGGAGATATCGCTTGTGTGAGATCAAACGATATCTCCTAGGAGATATCGTTTTGACAGTAGATTTTGTACAGGGCCATGACAATGCTATGACGTCATGTACTTGATGACGTCACAATGCTATGACATCGCTGCACTGCAAATCTCTTGGCAGTACCATGTTCAGAGATGTACATTTTTCATTGAAAATTAACGAAGAGTGATTTTGGATGATAAATAGAATCTCACCCTCGTGTCTTCTGATATCAAATATATCAACACTCGTTGATAAAGTAAAAATATCCTCGGCAAGCCTCGGATATTTGTAACTTTATCAACTCGTGTTGATATAATTGATATCAGAAGACACTTGGGTGAGATTCTCTATTTACTCCAATGAGTAATGCAAGTATTTCTCTAAATATTTGGAAAAATACTGTTATTTAATATCAAACTTCATATTAAAATAGTAAAATAAGACTGGCACAATAATGATTTAATAGTATTGACTATTTGTTTAAAACACCAGAAATATATTTTTTTTACTGATAAAATCCCCAAATATTTTTTGAATAACTTTTCATTTCAGACTTTCGCTTTAATACACATACACAACTTATTCAAACTACGTTTTTATATGTTCTTTTGAAGAATACGTGACCCGTGGAGATCCGGGTTAGAATTGATCTTCAGTAACCAATGCTTAACGTAACAGGCGACTAATGGGATCTGATGGTGAGGCTCGCTGATCTGATTGACACCTGTCATCGTATCCCAAATGTGTAGATCGATGCTTATGCTGATGATCACTTGATTGTGTGGCACAAACTCGATTATTTACAGACCGTCGCCATATAGCTGTCATTTTGCTGAGTGTGGCGTAAAACTAAACTCGCTCGCTCGTTCCTTCCCACTCACAGACTCACTCACTCACTCACTCACTTGAAGAATACGTGTATTTTTAGACCTTTCGTTTCTATCCAGCTCACGTGTTTAGTCGCTCGAACTTAGCATCAGGCAAATGTATTGCGTTAATTAGTAAATTTGTTTAGGGCGGTCTGTCTGCATTGAGATCCGACAACTGGGCCTAATTCATCATCGTTTCCCGTGCTTGAGGTCCACCTGGCACAAGAGTATACACGGGCGTTCGCATGCACAAACTACATTATTGATGCTCATTGATTGAGGTTCAGCAGGCATCTGGGTCCACATCACTGACGCTGCTAATTGTTGCAGATACGCATATTTTGGCCTAAAACTGCAATATATTATCTATTGAAGTGCCTTCGTCAAAGATGTAGGCTGAAGCAGAGATTTTGTCTTTTGTGTGTATTTTTTGCTTTTGTTTGTTTGTTTGTTGTTTTACGCCGCACTCTGCAATATTCCAGCTATATGGCTGCGGTCTGTAAATAATCGAATCAAAATACAACAAAACGAACAAGAAAAGAAGCTTAAAAAACAAAACATGATCATTTTATAAAAAATCCATTTTCGCCACAATTATATTCTTTTATGTTTATCAGCGTCATACCCGTTCTTACATATAAATTGTGCTCGTTTGAATCCTGCATCAAATCGGGCCTTTATCATTCGTCAATGTGACGCGCCGCGATGAAGCTGCTTATTTGTTCAAACAGTTTAATCAAATTCAAAATTGTACATACCGTTTATTCAAGCTCATCCACTCTATGAATACGGATGTTCTGTCATGTTTTAAGAAGCCAAACAAACATGTTCACTACTTTTCAAGAACAACGTCACATCAAAGCAACCAGTTCGCGAGGAAATCACGCCGCAACCGTGGCTTTGTGATTATTCACATGCGTAATATTAATATTTCCACCTCTTGTCAGAGGCTGTGGGTTGCGGCTGTGGTTTAACCTAATGGTTAAAGTGTTCGCTCGTCACGCCGAAGATCCGAGTTTGATTCCCCACATGGGTACAATGTGTGAAGCCCATATCTGGTGTACCCCGCCGTGATATTGCTGGGATATTGCTAAAAGTGGCGTAACACTACACTCACTCACGCCCACCAAGGTGTTTCATTAACGATTCTAACACCTACGTCACCTCGCTTTTTTTCACATGTTACAAAACAACAAATTCAGGTTTGGGAAATGTAACAATCATATTGGGAAAATTAATGGTTTTACGACATTCTGAATGATGAAAGTGTGAACTACAGATCTGAATGACCACATAGTGTACAACTGAATCGAGGACAGTTGACTGTCCGGTATTCGAGCACCATTTGTTTCATCATAACCGGCTCTAAACTGAAGTCAGTTTAATACAGTCAGTATCGTGTGTGCTCACCCCTGGCTTGTATGTAAGCGTGAACACGACGTCTAACGGATTATGTTAGTCGTCTGATCACATGTATCAGGAATCTCCGCCATTCTTCCTGTAGGGCCTGTGCCAACGCCTCTCTTGTCTGTATGGGTGGCTGTCGCTTGTTGATTTGTCGTCCAAGGTGGTCCCACAGGTGCTCAATAAGGGGCAAGTCGGGAGATCGAGCTGGCCAAGGAAGCAACGTCACATTCTGGGCATTGAGGAGGTCCATACTGATGCGTGCCTTATGAGGTGTGGCGTTGTCTTTTTTGGAACACGGTACATGGGTGATTCTGGATGAATGGCACGACGACTGGTCTTAAAACTTCACTGATGTACCGGGTTCTGGGTCATGACTCTAGGACGTCCACTTCTAGGCCTGTCAGACGTGTGACCTGTTTATTTACCCTGTAACCCAATATAAGAATGAATGTTTTTCGTCTTTTTTGACGTGCTTATGAACACGCATTTTCCTACCTTCTACGTGGAAATCGATGTCTAAACTTTCTGTACACTGATATAACATGGCAAGTGAGAGATAACAGTAACAAACAGAAGTAGTAAAATGGTAAACAGTGATTCTAGTAAAGTGGGGCAGTGGGGTAGCACAATGGTTACAAGTTTGCTTGTCACGCCGAGGATCGGGGGTCGATTCCCCACATGGGTGAAACCCATTGTTGGTGTCCCCCTCTGTGATATTGCTGGTATATTGCTATAAGCGACGTAAACTAAACTCACTCACTCACTCTAGTAAAGTGAGTGAATGAGGTTTGATGCCGTTTTCTACGGTATTCCAGTACGTTACAGCGTTTCAAAGTGAGGTCGCTGACGTATACCATTTGGGTGGTTTGTCTGGTCCAGACTCGAACATTTACAGCCTGAAGTAATACAACTTGAAACTCAGTCACTCAGTCAGTCGCTCAATCACTCACTCGCTCCATTGCCCAGCGTCTGCGTGACAGATGGACAGCGGCCGAGGGGGTGTTTCTTTACACGTGTACATTACCCTTTCAGGACCGCGTCAAGCTGACACGAGCGCGTCAGAATGAACAAGTCACGTCGTACAAACAGGCGCGCCGTCCACGCCAATGGAAGTATCTCAGGTAAATATATCCATATACCTCTTCTCGATAATCTGTTAATTGCAAAACTAACATATTTTTTATATTTTACCTACCTATCTATGTATTTACTTATTATCTTACTTATTGATTAATTTATTCAAAACTAGCAAAGTGATTATTTGTTCATTTAAAACAAACTTAGTGTTCATTCATTCATTCATTCATATATTTATTTATTTATTTATTTATTTGCATCTATTATGAAACTAACAGGTAGATGCTTTTCGTGTTGAAAACGTACAAGAAACAAATGAGTTTATTTTCGTGCCTTCATGGTCAAGTTGATAAATCGCCTGCCTGAACAGCAAAATGTCAAGGGTTCGATGACGTGGTCATACTAAAAAGACGCTAAGAGTTGTATCAAAGACGTATATACACAATGTCTTTGGTTGTATCATTGGTGGCATAATCATGTAAAGAGCAGCAACCTGCAGTACAGGGTTGCGTCCCCTTGTCGTGCCAGGATCAGGAGGTCTCCCCTTATTCGCCCCCCATAATGAGCCTTTTTTGGCCTGTTTTGTTTGAATCACACCCAATCAGTCAATATGAACACGTATTATAGCTGATAAAGGGAGATTACTCTCCACGGTGAAGGGAGGCTACTCTCCCTAAATCTTCATTTTAGACCGGATGTAGTTAGTAAAACTGAGACAGAGCTGCTGTCTTGCAGGCGAATGAAGTCTTGATGGTTTTGATCAAGTTGATGTAAAATAATGTCTGATCTTAAATGTGACTAGACCTGTGACAAATTTGCCTATGTTTATTTTATCATCGTTTGAATTGTTTTCTAAGACATCCGATTGGTGGAGATATGGTTGTACCTGCTCGGCGTCATCTGGTGGCTCTTGACAGTTGTATTCCGCGCCTGGAGACTGAACCCAGTCAGCTTCCTGTGGCACCGGATGAGAACTATGTACACATTGGACGGCAAGAGTGATCTCCCCATACAACCCAAGTGGACGGAACGCATCAGGGATCTCTTCATTTCAGGTAGGTCGAGAGTTATCCCCCTGATCTGATTAACTTCTTCTTACTCAGATTCTACAAATGCCAAATATGATTATTTGTTTCCATAGTGATTTGTATGGATTAACATTGTATTTATTCGTTGGTCAAAAAGCATTATTCAAAGAACGACAACTCCAGAGATATTCAAAATGTCGCGTTGGTCACGCTCTGGTTAATTTTGACATTCCTTGTTGTCTTCAGGACAACACAATATCCCCCCCCCAAAAAAAACAACAACAAAACACACCCCAAACAAACCCAAAACAAAACAAAAAAACAAAACAAACAAGCAAAAACAAAACAAAAACAAAACAAACCCAACAACAAGAAACAAAAAAGAAGAAAAGGTTCAATACACCATACCAGGGCGTCTCTTTTCAGACTCCACAGCATGAGAGCATAAATATAAAAACCACTGAATGTATTCTCGGTCTTCTTTGAACTGGAAATATGATATCGGTTGGCAATATGCTCGCTTTGAGGAGATGAAACTGTAGACAGGCAATGTGACAAAGGCATTATATCCATGTACCTCTATATCCAACATTAAGCACATATTAGTAAACTGTTCTTACAGCTCGATAGCTCGGAAAGTCAATTGATGTTGTTGATAAGCAGATGTGGGGTCTCCTCAGCTGACAACGAAATATCTTGGAGCAAGTGGGGCTTCATTGATGGTGTGGGGATGTCTCTCACATGACTAGTCACCAGTAGTGTTGGGAATTGTTTAAAATCTCACAATTGATGATTGGTTCATTACAACTGATCAATCATCGAAAATAATTGGTTAGCGTCATTTATCAAATTTTCCTCCTTGTGTTGGTTAATGCACAAAAAAGAAGAAAAAGCATGTATTATTTCGTAAATTGCACAAAATGCATTTGCAACTTTCACATCCTTAAAGGATGACTAGTCTGTTAGGAACATCAATTTCCTATTATGCCTAGGAACGAGCTTTTAGCGCTTATGAAATGTAACAGACAAAACCAACCTTGTGAAATATATTGTTACTACAAACAAGTGTTGTATCACTTCCTAAATTGTTTGTGTTCGATTAAGAGAAAACATGATCGATTGCTTGGTCGTTTAGTCATTGCGACCAATCTTCGATTATTTCAATTAATTGGATCACCACTAGCCACCAGATAGCTGGAATATTGCTAAGTGGGGCGTTAAACGACAATAAAAACCAATCAAAACTCACATGAATGTAAATTTGACCTTGTGACCATCAGACAAACTTTGAATGGACAACGGATATCACTGACATCTTAGAAGGGGTTGTTGTACCACATTTCGATGGCCATCCTCTTCAAATCTTAAAATCTTAACATAGGGAGCAGTGGGGTAGCCTAGTGGTTAAAGCGTTGGCTCGTCACGCCGAAGACCCGGGTTCGAATCCCCACATGGGCACAATGTGTGAAGCCCATTTCTGGTGTCCCCCGCCGTGATGTTGCTGGAATATTGCTAAAAGCGGCGTCAGTCAAATCTTCATGAACGACAAAAGCTAGGTCACGTCTCGCACATGTAGTTGGTGATTTCTGACGTCAAGAGGTGGCAACAGCTTTACCTTGGAGTCCAGATCTCAATCCCATGGAGCATGTTTTGGAATATTATGGGTCGCAGAATACACCATATTTATCATCTAATGGAGGTTTTATCGGTGCAATCTAAAGCAATCTGATAAACTTGCAATATTCCAGTCACGGCGGGGACACCAAATCTGGGGAATCGAACTATGCTTTAAATTACGTCAGTATCCAAATCTGATAACTATGTAATGTACGTCAATCCAGGAACTACTTTCACAAAACTCAATACTCGCCATGCGAATCCTAAAACGTTTTAACATTTCATTGATGCCGTCGTCGCGAGTTTGCATTGCGTGGACGAGTTTGTAAACAAACATGGCTGCCCCTATTCTCATAATTGGTGATTCTTTAAGAATTGATGACAGAGGTTCGTGGGTCGTTACTGCAGAAGGCTCGCATAATACAATTTTTATTCCTAATATATGATATTATTGATACGGAAACACAGTCGGTTAATAATCTCTATAGAGCATCCAGTACAAAAGATTGATGTACTGGAACAAGCGCTCTATCAAGAATGGAACGCAATACCTCAACGTCAAATTAAACGTCATTTAGGAGGAGGGTCAGGGATGTTATTGCAGCTGACGGATTTCACACCAGATATTAACATTGTGGTATGTGCTATGGTTAATGATAGCATATTGATGCTATGAAACATATGGGGTGTTGCGATACCTCTTTCTATGTATATCGTTCCACATTTTCAGACCAACGTGCGACAATGCTTGTCGTAAGAGGCGACTAACGGGATCGGGTGGTCAGGCTCGCTGACTTGGTTGACACATGTCATCGGTTCCCAATTGCGCAGATCGATGCTCATGCTGTTGATGACTGGATTGTCTGGTCCAGACTTGATTATTTACAGACCGCCGCCATATAGCTGGGCTATTGCGGAGTGCGTGGTAAAACTAAACTCACTCACTCACTCAGACCAACGTATGTGTGAAGCCCATTTCTGGTGTCCCCCGCCGTGATATTGCTGGAATATTGTTAAAAGCGGCTTGAAACCAAATTCACTCACTCACCCAGACCAACGTACGGATGACAGAAAATGACTGCACTTGTTAACGTCAAACAATCATAGTTATCAGCACTACAAAATGAATAAACCCGTGAAGGTCCGGGTTAGAATGAACCTTCAGTAACCAATGCTTGTCGTAAGAGGCGACTAACGGGATCGAGTGGTCAGGCTCGGTGGCTTGGTTGACACATGTCGTCGGTCGAACGATGGCGTAGATCGATGTTTATGCTGTTGATCACTGGATTGTCTGGTCCAGACTCGATTATTTACAGACCGCCGCCATATAGCTGGAATATTGCTGAGTGCGGCGTAAAACTAAACTCACTCACTCACTCACAAAATGAGTAATATCTTTTTTTGCCATGTTTGCTTCTGTGACTATGCTTTTCCCTTGAATTTTTTTTCCAATTTAATAATCCTTTGAAAGTATATATGCTGATGTAATTTAATCTGAGGTGATAAATTTTTGCTGTGGGTAATTGTAACATATTGGTGATATGAAAATATGGGGTGTTGCATTTTTCCATGTGTATATATGCATGTATCTGTGTGCCTGTGCACCATTGTGATGCATACACATGTTTGTGTGCACACATGTGCGTGCAGTTTTCAGTGTGTTCATGCATCTATGTCACCCATGTAGACAAAACGTGAATTTCGATCTGGACCTAATGCTATTTTTTCTCCAGATACATTTAGCTGAAATCAATATCGATTTCCACGCCGCCACGCCCGAGATATGTCCTTAAATATATCTCTGGAGCTGTTTCTGTCACGAAGTGATGGTGGGGCCCCATGCCAGACCTTCAGTCTAGTATTGATCTCCAGGGAGACAGGATGAGGTACACATGTTGGCAACCCGTTAAGTTGTATCAGGTACCTGGCACTGTTTTCATGATGGTGTTTGTGGTGTTGGAGGATGGCGTTGGAGACTCTGCTGGTGGTGGTGATGATGATGTTGACGACGATGATGATTTTGGTGGTGATGATGATGATGAGGATGACGACGACGAAATGATGATGATGATTTGTCGGTGGTGGTGTAGATGATGATGATGATGATGACGACGACATGATGATGATGATTTTGGTGGTGGTGACGATGGTGATGATGATGATGATTTTGCTGGTGGCGATGATGATGATGACGACGACGACAACGATGATTATGATGATGATTTTGGTGGTGGTGATGATGATGGTGATTATGATGATGATTTTGGTGGTGATGATGATGATGATGATGACGACGACATGATTATGATGATGATTTTGGTGGTGATGATATGATGATGATGAGGATGACTTTGCTGGTGGCGAGGATGATGATGATTTTGCTTGTGGTGATGATGATGACGACGACAACGATGATTATGATGATGATTTTGGTGGTGGTGATGATGATGATGATGACGACGACAACAACGACGACTATGATGATGACGACGACGATGACGACCCGTATCAAATACATCAGCATCGATTTATCCTTTCTCAGATTGTTTTGTTTGTTGTTATTTTCCCCATTTTTAGCCACAACAAAACATTGCTGTATACTTCCTTTTGCCAAGCAGTTTATATCTGCACTTCACCAGCCTGAACACAGACATTTTCCCAGGCCCCGTATTTCTGTTATGTCGTGTTGTTAGGCAGATTCATCATTACAGAGGAAGTGCTGGCAAACTGAAACACCTGTGACACTGGCCTGTTTGCGGGACTGTAGTTGTAAATGCCACACATTAACACGTGGTAATCCCTGCATAGCAAGCCAGACCAACCTGCATTATCGCATCACTCACTGTCAAAACAGCCGTCACAACGTCGCCATCACAACCACGTGTCACAGTGCCAAGGTCACCGTAACCTTCCTTAACTGTTGTCTGCGTGACACTAATTGTATTTGAAGTGACTTTGTTCCTGTCTGTCTGTATGTGTGTCTCTGTGTGTGTATGTCTTATAGTTGGTGTCTTTATATATTTCTGTATTATAGGTGGGCTGTCTGTCTGTATGAGTGTCTGTGTCTGTCTGTATATGTATGTCTGTGTTTGTATATGTATGTATTCATGCATGCATGCATATGTATGTATGTATGTATGTATGTATGTATGTATATATGTATGTATGTATGTGTGTGTGTGTGTGTGTGTGTGTATGTCTGTCTGTATGTCCGTCCATGTATGTCTATCGTATGTGTGTATCTGTGCGTCTGTCTGTCTGTCTGTCCGTCCGTCCATGTTTGTCTGTCTGTACGTCTGTCTGTCTGTGTGTCTGACTGTCTGCACTGCAGACTGTGCTGGGATATTACTGCAAGTATTCGGACATACTGACAAGTGCACCAGTAAATAAGTAACCCCTATATATCGTTATGTGGACCGATAAACGTGTAACCCCGATACATCGATACATGTACCGATACACCTTTAATGCCGATATATCAACAGAATTACCGGTAAACGTGCAACCAGGATATATCGACGAATGTACTGATAAACGTGTACCCCGAAAATATCAACACATGCCACGATGTACCTTTTACCTCGACATATCGTCAATACACCGTGCTCGATATATCGACAATATGCACATCAATCGACAATACACCGTGCACGATATATCGACAACACACCGTGCACGATCTATCGACAATACGCCGTGCACGATCTATCGACAATGCACCGTGCACGATATATCGACAATACGCCGCGCACGATCTATCGACAATGCACCGTGCACGATATATCGACAATACGCCGTGCACGATCTATCGACAATACGCCGTGCACGATATATCGACAATGCACCGTGCACGATATATCGACAATAAGCCGTGTACACCCTGATACATGACAAATGCACCGGTAAACATGTAACCCATGCATCGATGAACGTGGTTTGTTGGTTGGTTTTGTATAACGCCACATTCAGCTGTATTCCAGCTATATAGCGGCGGTATGTGAATAATCGAATCTGGACCAGACAATCCAGTGATAAACAGCCCGAGCATCGATCTACGCAATTGGGATACGATGACATGTGTCAAACAAGTCAGCGAGCCCTTAAAAGAGAGATCGATGTGATCCCCGGATGTAACAGCAAGGCATACAAGACTTTAATCCCGATTAACAAATAAATAAATAAAACAAACATTTATTGGAACATTGTTCACATTGGAACTGACCTTTTTATAGAAAATATAATTAAACGAACAGTTTGAATGTGATCAAATAATAGAGTCAGGACCAGACAATCCTGTGATCAACAGCATGAGCATCGATCTCCGAAACTGGGATACGATGACATGTGTCAGACAAGTGAGCGAGATCTCCACCCGATATCGTTAGTCGTCTCCTACGACAATCATGGGTTGCTGAAGATCAATTCTTAACCGGATCTTCACGGTGTACGACAAGCATGGGTAGCTGAAGACCAATTCTAACCTTGATCTTCACTTTGTACGACAAGCATGGGTTGCGGGAGACCAATTGAAACCCGGATCTTCACGGGTCCACGGACAGGTTGGTTCCAGCCACAGAAAGCACAACATCCATTGATTCTTCCATTACTGCGTGATTACATCGGCTCAGAGCAGCGTTACGTAATGCAGTAGCATCATTAATCCTGCTCATGGCAATTACAGTCGACATGATGAGACAAAGGAAATATCCGCCCTTGATTCCGTGCACAGTAAATATTGTAATGTGCAACGTGAAAGAAGACGCGAAGGAAAACTGTCTTCCTTACGACTATGTTTTGAGACGCAATATTGCAGATGGACCTGGGGAAATGTTCATGAAGACGCATCCATCAGCTCTCGAAGGAAAACTGCCTTCCTTAAGACTTTGACGCAATACTGCCTGCTGATCTAGGGAAATGTTAGAATATATTTACGGACGGATAAATACACGGTTGGATGAGATGAAATAAGCGTACCTGGAAATGGATTCGACCAACAAAGAAACATTGCGTACCATGATTCACGTCACTGGCCATTGTCCGTGTCAGAGTTCGACAAGGTTGTAGTTCAACATACATTCGTCATTCGTGAACAGTGGATCCAAGAAGGACGTAACTGCTTTCGTGTATTTCTTTCAGACACCTGGTGTTGCGTTACTTTGATTTGTTTGCGCCCAGCAGTACTCCAACAATATCACCGCGACATGTAAAGAATCTGGTCCAGACAACCCTGTGATTGATATAATGAGCAACCATCGGGATACGATGTCACCGAGCCTTACCAACCGATCCGTTGCAAAATTGCTGATGCGGCCTTAAGCAATACTCACTCACTCACTCACTCACTCACTCTCAATACTCACTCACTCACTCTCTCACTCACTCACTCAACAACCGATCAGGCTGGGGACAACTTGTGACGCCTGACCTTGGATTCCCTGTGGGAGCTCGTGTTGTGGTTAACTTGAAAACCAATTAGACAGATCTCCTCGTGTTATTCAAATAACGGATTGCGGTGTTCTGGAGCCACAACAGACGACGTCAGACCTTGGCCTGGCTGCATTGTGTTAATTCACAACCAGAAGACGTGTGATAACCTGATAATTATTGAGTACGGTAGCTCTATGTTACAAATGCTGACTAGGAAGAATGAGACGTGCGGGGTGAAAAGAGCTGCATACGCCATGCAAATATGTCGTGGTAGGTCCTGTGTTAGAGGAAGTCATCGATCGCGGTCTCCAGGCGCTGCTTTACTCTAGAAAGTGTGACTGTGAATGAGTTTAGTTTTACGCCGCTCTCAGCAATATTCCAGCAATATCACTGCGTGGGACCCAAGAAATAGGCTCCACACATTGTACCCATGTGGGGAATCGAACCTGGCTCTTCGGAGTGACGAGCGAGCGCTTTAACCACTGGGCTACCCCATCGCCCCTCCCAGAATAGACTCAAATTAGCGTTCTAATTTTAACGTCAGTGGGTTTGTAAATGTATAAGCCTTAACTGGTCGTTATAACCCCGTTTCGTGAACAAAAATGAAATCCATAGTGTCGTTTTGTGGTCACATGTTATTTTGGGTCTTCAAGCCTTTAGCTATCGCCTCCTCTTTAGCGAGCATGGACTTAATCTCACTGTGAACAGTATTTCAGTTTTATCGCTTCCAAAAACTTTAAATAGGGACGAAAATACGAATTGGTGTGGGATGGTCACCACTTTTGTTACCTGCGCTGGTTGAGGCAGACAAGTGGTTGTTATCTGAACGAGTCTCGGATTCGACCAGCGAATGAAAGACATTTCCACATTTGTGTTGTTAGTGACATGCATTTTGGCTTTTGTTGCTTTGATTTTATCGTAACCCGAATTAAAGACATCGTGGATTAATCCAGTCATTACTTGCAGCACAGTATTCTCAGATTTAAGTCCGTTAATGTCTTTTTAGTCCGAAGTGAAGACGATATAAACCAGAGGTTGACATAATGAGCATCATATTGTCTCGTTCATATGGAAACGTTCTGTCCGTAATGACGGGTGTTCTGGATTAAAAGGGTTCGTACTAACGAGGTTTCGTTGTTCAGCCCGTGTATATAATGTTTATTGTAACATGGCTGTATACATATTAACCGCGTTCATTTTCTCACTCACTCACTCACTCACAACCACCCACCAACCACCCACCCACCCTCTCACTCACTCACTCACTCACTCAACCACCCGCCCTCTCACTTACTCACTCACTCACTCACATTTCAGATGTCCAAAGAAAGATCCGTCTACTTCAGTGGGTGAAGTCAAGGGTAAACCACGTGAAAATCGACGACTTCGTCTACTCCTGGCAAGATGGTATAGCTCTCTGCGCCCTCCTGGAGTCCGTCAGTCCCGGCGTGTGTCCCCGGTATCACCTTCTCAAGTCCGTGCTGAGGGTCAACAACTGCAGATTTGGGCTGCAAATCGCACACAAGTTCCTCAATATACAGCGGGTAAGCACTTAGCAGATAGGGCGGCGGGCCCGGGGTAGCCTGACGGGCAAAGCGTTTGCTCGTCACGCCGAAGGCCCGGGTTCTATTCCCCACATGGGTACAATGCGTGGAGCCCATTTCTGGTGTCCTCCGCCGTGATATTGCTGGAATATTGCTAAAAGCGACGTAAAACCATACCAACTCACCCACTCACTCTTAGGATAGGACAGGATTTTAACATGTCATAATTGAAATACTAAAGTAAAAGTTGATTATAAAAGCATGGGTTGCGGGATCATGTGAAACTTGGAACATATTTTTTCCTGATGAAAACTTAGTTTATTTTTTAAAAGTATATTTAGGGATATGTTATGCTTTTCGAAACAACCCCAGTCCCCAATAGTCAGTGATAAGAAAGGAATCACAGTCAGTCTACAGTTGAAACTGTTACAGGTTGTCATCACCCCGGAAGAGATGGCCATAGCGGCGGAAGACACGGAGCTGAAGATCGTCCATCTTGTTCAGATGATCAGATGGAAACATCAACGAATGCCCAAGATACCTGCTCACGCACGCCCAGTAGCACTTCCGGTGAGAAGGGTCTTGAGCAGGTGCTTTGCACGTGGAACCGGTCTGAAAACGGCGATGGTTGGACGCAGAGCCAAGTTCAACATCATCACGGATTGTGATGGTAAGTGTTTTTTTTCATAACAACTGAAACTATAATATTTTTATGAAGGAAAAAAAAACCCCTGAAATTCAAGAAAACGAAGAGAAAAAATAACATCTTTACTTTAAATAAGTGCAAAATAACTTCCAGTGGTTTCCTCAATTAGGCTATCAAATGCAATATAAACGTAAAATTTATACATCGGTATGTGTCAGCGGTTTAATTTATTGCAATTCCATTTCAGTTTAATGTTATAGGCCCAAAATCTTTGGTGATTTGAAATTCCTTTTTGTAACTTTTCCCTCAAGTGAACATTCTCATTCATCCGTTGAGTGAACATTCTCATATATGAGGCTCCTTTATATCAGGTACACTTGAACTCCTGGTGGAGATAATGGGCCCACATGGAGAAATGAACAGCGAAAGAATCTCATCCCACCAACCAGAAAGCCCACCGCGACAACAACGCGAATCTTCTGGAAACTCCATGAAGCCTCCATCTGAACACAGGTCAAAGATCATCACCGATAGTGAGGGCAACCGGTTCATCCGTCAGAAAAGCTTCGATGAAGACAGTAACCAAGCCATACCATTCGACTACCAAAGTATAGGGGAGGGTCGGTTCCTTGTGACGTACGTTCCAAGAAACACCGGTGTCCATGACATTGTCATCAAATCCCACGACCACCACATTCAAGGAAGTCCCTACCAAGTCTCTGTGTCCGATTGGTCAAGCTCTTGGAACGTCGTAGGGAAGAGCACGATGATGACTTTAGGCACGCTGCCGACTATCAGGGAGGGCGCAGCCAAGATGAGACAACTCCAGGAGGAAGTCTCCAACAGGTTCTTGGATGCTGGAGTCAGATCCAGGCGCCACAGAGGCAACGCGAAGCAACTAACTATCGCAAAACGGAGAGTTGTTAAAAGGATGATCACTCGAAATGGAGAGGAGGTTATTCTGTCGGATTACTCCCCTTCACCATCACTGTCTAGGCAAAGTAGTATTGATTTGTCGGAAGATTCTGAAGATGAACAGAAAAGGAAAGACTCGGAGGGAAGACCACTGACTGCAAAAGCCAACAAAGGAGAGTCAATGTCGGAGTGTAAGACCATCAAAGACGACATATACATCCCCGAGGAGGAGACACCCAATGACACATCTGACTCTCTGTCAGTAGTGTCTGTGGATTCAGATAGCAAGAAGAAATCCCTTTCAAAAGAGATCAAGAAAGTGAGACCTAGTATAAAAAAGAAATCCTCATCACAGGACATTAAGGAAGTGAAAGCTAGCATAAAGAAGATATCCCCATCACAGGAAGTGGAGGATGTTCAAGATTGTGTTTCAGGAAGCAGTGATCTCTCAGTCCACGACTCCACACACAAACCAGCTGTCTACACAAGCATGTCTCACAAAATGGGCGGAGCAGTTGAGCCTGGAAGAGATTCAAGTGATAAGGGAAATGATAACGGCGATGAAATGAAGCTTCTGAAGACAGGCAATGGTGACAAACAGCGTGCTAAAATGCTATCAGGTATGTCTGCAAGGAATTCAAGCAAACATCAGTCTAAGGAAAGAAAAGGTCACTCAGATCGTGGAGTCAGTTCAAGCAGCACCGTCACCCCACCTTGTTTTAAGAGCATTGTGGGCCATCAGTCCTGTCGTCAGTCATGGACCAACTCCAACCATGTCGTCATTGTGGTACCTACAGCGAAGGTTGACAAAACAACCCAAGTTACAGGTGAGGAGATTAAGAATGCAACAGGTTGGCATTCTGGCGCATTTAAAATCAAGAAACGTAAAATATATATTAACCAAAGCAACATCGAACAGAAGTCCCTAGCAGCTAAATCTGATATCCTTTCGGATAACGATGACATGAATGGCTTTCTCATTGGAAACGCCCAGAATATACAGAGAAATGTATTAAATGTAGAAGAATGGCTGCATAGTAACGGGAGTGATATATTTGGTGCTCCTTCAGACAGGCAGTCAACCTTTGATACGTGTGATAGTGGCATAGCTGACGAAAATGTCTCCTTTTGGAACCATGGATATCAAAATGGACATCGAAGGATCTCGAGAAGGCAACGTTCGAGTGAAATTCAGTTTCATCCAGGTATCTTTAACCACCTTCAGCAAAGAAGGAGGATCCAGTTTCAGGGAGGATCTCGACGAGGGACAGTTCACGTTCCTTTCTCAGGGAAGGGAGAACTGGTTGAGGATAACTGTTCGACTGATCAGTTGAACTTTTCGGACTCAGAACTCGAGTACAGCTCGAGTCAAATTCAGCAGCGTAATAGGGTTCGGCTTAAAATTAGGACCAGTTGTAATGGTAATACCTTGAATCGATCAAAGGTATCTCCAGAGAAGGATGAAGATAGATCGACCCAACAATATTTGAAGAGACAGGCTTCATTTAGTGGTCAGATTCGTATGAAAGCGCCATCATCTAAGTGTCAAGGTTGTTGCGATAACCAGAGAGATTCAGGAGACATCATTAAAAGTGCTCCATCAGACACTGTTGGGATAAACTCAAACGATTCTGAAAGAGTTAGCTCCCTTGTTACTGCTGATGAGCATGGTAATGGGTCACAACATTCAATCTACGGGAGATCACAATCTCTTGGTGAAAGAACACTGTTGCGTTATCATGATACTCTCTTAAAGAAGACAGAAGATCCACCAAGGACGCGCGGAAGTGGAATTGACGGACTAAACGGAGACAAACAGGACAACCCAGAAGATGAACACATTACCTACGAAGCTGCTGATACAGAGACAAAAGGAAATGATCCACCCGTCCAAGCTGGAAAACAGGATCATAATCTGATGAAAGAAGTCGACAGCGTTAAGATGGTGACAGGGTCTCAGTCTCTGACAGAGCGTGGTGAAGGGTCATCACTAAATCACTCACCTGTTTTGAGCTTGAAACAAAATACTCATGACGTGAAAACTATTCAGGAATCTTCCAACCCTGATTCCACCCTCCCAGACTCTGATTTCATTGATGAAGCATGGTTCTCAAAACTCTTCCCGAAGTCTGTGCTGGAACTACTGGCCAACAACCCGTTCTCTGGGGCAGCTGGGGTCGGCGAGAGACTCCCTGGAGACCTGGGGGAGGAGGAGGATTGTCTGGCGTTTGGAGCTGGATTGTCTTATGGCCACGTCGGGATGAAGAACAACTTTCAGGTGAGACCGGAACTAGATTAGCATGCTTATTGTTTGTGTCATTATCACAGTCCAGCAAATCTGATAAGGTTTTGGCTCGTTCCTCAGAGTGGTTTTAGCGTTGACACGTCTATGTTAAAGTGAATGAGTGAGTTACAACTTTCAGGTGCCACCAGAACTAGATTATTATGCTTATTATTGTCATTGTCACGTGATAGTCTAGCAAATCTGAAAATGTAAAGTATGTTCTCGTTCCTCAAAGTGGTCGTATTATTGGCACTATGTGAAAGTGAGTGAGTGAGTTGCAACTTATGGTTTATTTATTATCATTGTCATTATCACAGTTTAAAACTCTGAAAATGTAAGGTGCTGGCTCGTTCCTCAAAGTGGTCGTAGCATTGGCACCGTCTTAAAGGGAGTTTTGTGTAGATTCGGCGCTATTTCAGCTATATCGCGACGAGAACACGTTTATGTGTATGTTTAAATGAGTCACTAAATCAAAGTAATGTTTAAAGCAAATTTAACATAATTTATTGATTGCCACTGTTGGAAAGACGATCACTTGGAGTACGTTCGTTTTAGCGCTACCCGTGAAGGTCCGGGTTAGAATATTGATCTTCAGTAACCCATGCTTATCGTAAGGGGCGACTAACGGGATCGGGTGGGCAGGCTCGCTGACTTGGTTGACACATATCATCGGTTCCTAATTGCGCAGATCGATGCTCATGTTGTTGATCACTGGATTGTCTGGTCCAGACTCGATTATTTACAGACCGCCGCCATATAGGTGGAATATTGCTGAGTGCGGCGTAAAACTAAACTCACTCACTCGTTTTATGGCTAAGAACGTTCGGGGCATCGATGTTTGCTGAATAAATAAACAACCAGTTTGTAGGACAATCACTGAATGATGTGCTACTGCCGATCGTCAGTATTTATACCTATTCGGGGCTGTATGTAGCCCAGTGGTTTACGTGTTGGTTCGTCACGCCGAAGATCCGGGTTCGATTCTGTATTTATAGTTCAGGTTGGTCAGGGATGGTGGGATAGCCCAGTAATTAAAGAGTTTAATCGTCACGCCGATAACCAGGGTTCGATTCCCCACATGGGTACAATACGTGCCGCCTATTTCTGGTGTCCCCCGCCGTGATATTGATGGGATATTGATAAAAGCAGCGTAAAACCATACTCACTTACTCACTCATACGTATGCGAGCTACTACAGATAATGTTACTTACAGATTAAACTGACGATAAAGCTGTTATAGTGATATCTCGATAGAATTATGTAATCACATAGTTTAGTTTGACCTAAGCTTTGATGATAAACGTGTTTATTAGTAAGAATAATAACTTACCAGTGACTTGAATGCCACGAACGTATACTTGGTACGTGTGATTTGACCAACGTGAGTGAGTGAGTGAGTTTTGTTTTACGCCGCTTTTAGCAATATTCCAGCAATATCACGGCGGGAGATACGAGAAATGGGCGTCACTCATTGTACCCATGTGGGGAATCGAACCCTGGTTATCGGCGTGACGATTAAACGCCTTAATCACTTGGCTATCGCACCTTCCCTGACCAACCTGAAATATAAATACAGATGTAGAGACAGATAAATGTACTGTACCTTGGGTCTGTTAGTTTAACTCTATCTGACCAGCACAGTATGAGATAATGATCCCAGATTTATCAGACCATCTTTATCAACGTGTCTCTGGACGTGGTTACGATAGTTGATGGTCTGTGGTTTGTAAGAATTACAATTTTCCGTTCCACACCCCGGGATAAAATATTTGTAAAATATTGCCCATTTTCTCCATGTTAGGTCAACATTTTTATTTTTATGTTTCCCATCACCAGACCGACCCTTCTAATTTTATTGCCGACCCTCCGAAAAATTTAATTGTTATCATTCCAAGACTGCCGACTCGAACCTAAAACGTACCCGCCTTCATATAAAATGTTTATCTGAAGAACAGTCAGTCCTCAAAGAACGTACCGCGAGAAATTGTAATAAGAATTACAATAAATGAGAATCAAGAACATTATTCAGATAATTTTGTTTTATTAATTACCCGACCCACCCATGTTCAGAATTTGGTGGCTACGTGAAACACATGAAAAGAATGATGCCCTTATGAATGGAACATCATGCTAGGTTTTTTGTTTTCTTATAGGTGTGGGTCCGCTATCCCTACAACGGCATCGTCAACATCAGCGTCCACGGCCCAGACCCCCGCTATATCACGGAGACATCGACAACATACACGGGAGATAACTTGTATGAGGTCATGTATGAGGTCACACATCCGGGCTATTACGTCATCACAGTTAAATGGTGCGACCAGAACGTTGCAAATAGTCCCTTTATTGCAAAGGTAGCTTGGAATTAAAGGAAGCCATGGCTCAATACTCAAAGGCTTGACGGTTTAAAGTAACACGTGGCCAAAAAGGCCCAAATCTCAAGGCAGGTGTTCCATTTGAACCAGCCGCTGAGAGATTATTGCATCAACGCATAACAAAGATCATGCAACTCAATTGCAAATGGGAGCCAGTCTCTTTAACGTGGTCAGTTGGTCACGTTGAACTAAACATTGAATACTGGCCACAAAAGAGAACCACAGACAGTACCCGTGCATCTCATGCTGTGTCTGGGTGCCATTGGAATGAATGGAGGAAGGAAAGACTGTGCATCACAGGGCTGGTTGGTTTATTCACAGGCAAACTGTAGCGCAAATAGAGTTGCGCAACAGAGAGAAAATGACCAGTCTTTCTATGACTGAATCGAGCCATTCCGGCAAGCCGGATGGCGTCTCGTACCCCTCTCGTGGCTATGTTTACGACTGGGCCGTGTCTAAGCGCAAACGGGCATGGAGATGAAAATAGTCTAGTACTATTGCCAAGGAAAGATAACTCTGAATTTCCAAACATGGCTCCTAGAATATCCAATATCCAGTGGGCAAAACAGCGATAAAGTCATTCCCTTTGTAAATATATTTCAGTGTTTAAAGTTTCTGATCCTTTAGCTCAAAGTTTCTGTTTAAATTGTGCTTTGCATAGTTTAGCGAAGTTTCAAACTTCAACGGTGCCGCCATTTTCATGCTTCGAAATGCGTTTTACTACGCGCGATTTGATTGGTTTGCCACGATTCTTGGCAATAATGGCGTACGATAGGGGTACGAGTCTTCTTGTAGGTCACGGAAAGAGGCGAGTAGTTACGAATGATAGAAAGACTGGTAATTTTTCTCTCTGTTGCGCAACTCTATTTGCGCTACAATTTGCCTGTGGTTTTTGTTCTACACCGCACTACAGCTATAAGGCACCGAGCCTGACCACCCGATCCCGTCAGTCGCCTCCTACATTAAGCCGCGGTGGCTGAGCGGGTTAGGGGTCAGACTTTGTGTGCTGGCGATTAGGTGCCTGACTCTGAGGGTGTGGGTTCGAATCTCGGATGGGACTCAACCCAACAAAAGTACAAGAATCTGTACCTTACTAGGAAAGTGTAATCCCAAATACAGTGAAGCCTCGTTAATCTGGACGGTAGCGTTTCTCAGTAAATGGGATTGCGAATAGTCCTGACTACTGAATCGAGCACAAGTTGCTTCCCTAACTATTACAAAAACGACACGAATCTGGATAAAACAAATAAGCATTTAATGTATAGCTTAATTCATCACATCAATAATTTTACCGAGTGACATCCGACATGTCTGATCACGTCCTTCCTCAGCACAGGTGAGGTAATGTCTAACAAGCGATCTATTGTAGTATGCCTTGAATGTCCGAATTATTCCTGCATCCATCGGTTGTATATGAGACGTGGTATTTGGCCACATTTTGCAAAGTTAGCGAAGCACACTTGTGACTTGCAGCATTGTCGTAAAGCAAAATCACTTTAAGTCCACGTGACCGCATCTGTCTGTGAAAGTACATTAACCAATCACAAAACAGCTCACTTGTCATCCACGCCTTTGTATTGTGGTGTAAATGTACAGCATCTTCAGTCCGGAGCTTTTAATGTCTAATTAAAACAACAACCCAGTTGGCCAATTAATTAAGTAAACATCGCCGGGAGGTGTTGTTACGGTTCGTGATCACGACTTACAGCGTCCGGACTGTAGCAATTTACTGGTTTATTTTACTGATTGGTGACATACCGTCCGGTTCCGTAAACAGAATTTCCGGATTATCGAGGCAATCATATACTTGCATAGACCACCCATCAAAAGCTTCGTCCGGGAGGGGAGACATCCGGATTATCGGAGTCCGGACTAACGAATATATGGTCACATCGAAGATGAAGTTCTCCGCTAACTTGGGGGAACAAACTGGAAACCTTATGCAGATGAATTGCACGAGGATCAAACACCAAATTGCTGAAAAGCATGTGCAAATATCATGCATATGAACAACTGCGTTTTGGTGTAAAGATTTGTTCAGAATTCACCAATTTTCACTGAGCTGTTGAGTTTATTGAACTCATGACAATAATCTTTTCAACGTTACGAATTTGTTTTACAATACATCAGTTCATGTGTAAACTGTTCCTTTAAACAGTATGAACTATTTTGCAAAATCTAGTTTAGAACAGTTGACTAAAGAAAGTGGCTATATTTACAATAATCAGTCTAAACTTTTGATGGGTGGTATATGTCTGTGTCTGTAAAATGAGCACAGAAGAATATTGCACGAATATTCTACATTGTACGTGCAGGCGTGTGGCAAACCAATTTTTTTTGTGTTAGTCCGATAGGTTGCACCGCTTTATAGTTAGATAGTTCTTGAGGTATTTATGGCAGAATTAGATTTTTTTTTTTTTAAATTAAAAATCGTGTGTACCCGGGCCTTTTTTTATAATGGTAGCTACGCCCCTTACGTGTGTAACATATGTTATATTTGGGATTACACTCTCTTTGTAAAGTACAGATTCTAGTACTTTTGTTGGGTTGAGTCCATCCGGGATTCGAACCCCTAAATGACGTCTGATTTGATCAAAATGAATTTTAAACATATCTGTATATACAGATAAATGTATAGA